AATGTATTTAATGTTATGAAAATAATTTCATACCCACTATTATCTTTTTAAAATAAGAACAAATTCTCTTTTAACAGTCATATATTATAGCATCTCTTTTTCTCTTTAAAATTGTAAAATTTGTCTTAGGGGTGGGGGGGCACCTAAGGTGGTTTATAGCCCCAGTGTCACAAGAGAAAAGCTTTAAAACATAAGAAGGGGACACAAAGGTAGGACAAACCACATTCTCATAGAAGGTCTCAACACTATAAGAACTCACCTACCAAAAATGAAAGTAGACATTATAAGAAGCTATGGTACATTTATACAATGGAATGCTATGCAGCTGTAAAAAGAAGGAACTCTTACCTTTTGCAACAGCATGGCTAGATCTGGAGATTATTATGCTAAGTGAAATAAGACAGTCAGAGAAAGACATATACCATAGGATTTCACTTATATGTGGAATCTAATGAACAAAATAAACTGAAGAACAGAACCAGAGGCATAGATACATGGAACAGATGGACAGATGTCAGAGGGAAGAGAAAGTAGAGGACTGGATAAAAAGGTGAAGACATTAGCCAAAGAACATATATACATAACCCATAGACACAGACAACAGCGTGGTGATAGCCAGAGGGATGGAGTGGGGGCTGGGTGTAGGTGAACAAAGGGGAGAAGAAAAGCATCTGTGATAGTGTCAACAATATAAGTAAAGTTAACCAAAGAATATATATAAAAATATAGAAGTATCCAGTGCCCTAAAGTAAATTTCAACACATATGACATTCAATCAAAAATTACCAGGAAAATATGTACAAGAAAAACCAATCAAACCCAGTCAATAAAGGTGCAGGTGATAAAATTTACATATAAAGATAGTGAACAATTATTATAAATGTATCCTGTATATTCAAGAGGCTAAAAGAAAGGTTGAACGATAGAGGCATCACAAAATATAAAACACCCAAATCAAACTTTCAAGGATGAAAATTACAATATCTGAAGTGAAGAACACAATGGGGGCGTGCAGGTGGGAACAGACACAACAGTGAGACAGAGCACCCTCAGCAAAATGCCACATGAAATGATATTCAAGAACTTTGGGATATTTCTAGTGTTTGATAAAATGTAGAGTGAAGCTTGCCTTTCTGGTTTTGTTAATCTGTATTCTAAATCAGTGATCTGGCCATTTCTGAGCTATCAATGATCTGGGGCTCTCCTACATAAAATAAGTGTCTGGGTCAGTCAAGAGTCCATATATAGAGACATTGTTTGGGCAACTGAACTGAAAATTACTTAGGCTCTAGAAAATTCAAAACTAGCATGCAAGAATGGTAGACATTGTTGTAATAAAGCTTAAATTAGTATAGACATATTTTCTTGTATTATTTATGTAATGATTAAACAAAAATCTGGAAACAACATGAAAATATTCTCATGAATGCTATATTCCATCTAAGTACACAGTGTTGACATAAGATAGTTATGAGACTTCTTTCTTATCTGTGAATAAAGTCAATGGTACGTAGTGTTTATTACATGGTAATTACATTTGTGTACTATTAGACTTCTTTGTGGAATATCACTCTCTGTGGTGGGTATAAGTATTATTAGAAAGGCAAGGTCATTCTCACACCAAATATAGGGGCAAATAAGGTCTTTCGGTCCGGAAATAATTATTTAATCCAATTTACTATGTTCAATTTACTAACTAATGAGCACAGAAAGTTTCCAGAATGTATTGTGGGAAAACATACCCACAAAATCTAGCAGTACATAGCAGTAAAATGTATGGGTCATACTCTGTATCTCACACACTGGCTGAAATGGCTTTGCTGACTTCACATGAATTGTTAATCCATCTTCAGGTTGACTGGGAATCTGCTGATCCATGCTGGGCTAGGCTGTGAGGCTCTGCTTGAAGCTGCAAGTTGATAAGGCAACTTGTCTCCACTTTTTCCACATCCTCCTTAGACCAGGCATTAACCAGGCACAGTCTCATGGTACAGTGGAGTCAGAACACAACAAGCCCCTCTGCACAAGCAAATTTCACTCTTCTGCTTGCACCATATCTGCTAATACTACAATGACCAAAGAGGTCCAGTTGGCCAACCTCATAGTCAACATGTGGTTAAGTATATTCTGGGAAAGTGAGTATTTTTAAATAGTAATGTAATCTACAACACAGACTGACCCGTCAGTTCTGAGAATTTGGAAAGGCTCAGAGAACAGAGTTACAGGCCCTTAGTTTATACCACTTTCTTCTTTGTTGCCCAATTATGCACTTCAACATCTGGAGGATTGAGATGCTTGAGAACTGACCAGTGATCCATTGAAACCATCATCTACCACATGTGTCTAGGAGGCAAGCTATGACATGTACCCATAACACAGGCCTGGAGGATCTGGAGCTGGTTTTTCCAAGCCTATAAGCTTTTCCTCCTCATTTCTTAGAATTAGAAAAACTCCTTTTAACTAGTACTAAGGAAATAAAAAGGCCACAAATAAAAAAGAAAAACAGAAAACAAGGTTGTATAAGTAGGACTTCATGAAAAAAGTATGCATGAGAGTTTCTTTAAAAACTGACTGCAGTAATGTTCAGTTATAAGAGTTCATGTAAGGAGACAAATGACAAAAAATGACATTCAGTATCATTTTCAAGGGTATGATATAAAAAGAAATAGTGGATTTTCTTATTTTTTATTTAAGTACTTAGAGTCTTGAGCTGCCCTGAGACAAAATGCAAGAAAGAACACACCATTCCAGCAGACAACTCTCAGATCTCAGTGGTTTACTGCAAACACAACAGAATCACCTTGGTCTGTTCTATGAACACTATGGGCCAGCTGCGGCTGTGTTCCAGGCTGTCAGTCAGACTCATACCTGCTCTATGTATCTTATCCATCATGGGTCTAGGTTGAAGAGAAAATTCTGACTGGAAACATTCTCATTCTTTTTTTTTTTTGCCTTTATATTTATTTATTCATTTATTTATTTTATTGTTGTTCAAGTACAGTTGTATTCATTTTCCCTCCACCACTCCCCCCACCCAAGCCATCCCCACTTCCCTCCCCTGATTCCACCCCCCTTGGTTTTGTTCATGTGTCCTTTATAGTTGTTCCTGAAAACCCTTCCCCCACATTAACCCCTCCCATCTCCTCTCTTCTGGTGACTGTCAGATTGTTCTTAATTTCAATGTCTCTGGTTATATTTTGCTGGCTTGTTTGTTTTGTTGATTAGATTCCACTTAGAGATGAGATCATATGGTATTTGTCTTTCACCACCTGGCCTATTTCACTCAGCATATTTCTTGCCAGTTTCAACCATACTGTCCCAAAAGGGTAGGCACTCCTTCTTGTAGCAGAGTTGAAAAGCAAGAGATACTGAGCCAAGTTATACTAAAATTTTACACAAGTAAAATTTCTGATTATTCTGGCACATTTTAAAGTGACACAAATTCCATTGGCCAAATATAACTTTTTAAAGAAAAGTCACAGGAAGAATTAGCATTAGTACAGTGAGGGAACACCCCTCCAGCAGGAGAGGAATGAGATAGTAAATACCAGTGAACAGCAATAACCTGTAACAACTACATACTGTCACTGTTTTCTTCTTTAGCTTCAGAAGTCTCATCTCTAAAAGGGTAGGTATTTCCACAGTATAGAGCACAAAGATAGTATTCAGCTGTTTTATTCATTCACTCAACAAATATTACTAAGATCTTTTTTTAGAGACTAAAGGCACATGCATGTGAAAAGTTACATAATATAAATTTTTATCAAGTGATATCAGAAGACTCCCTTGTTAATTGTACAATAAAGGAATTGACCATTCTATAGGTCAGAAAGGAACTGACTTAATGGAAGAAATAAGTCTCCTTAGAAAAGGAGCTGTCCAACAAACTATGAAGCCACTACAAAGGTTGTTAGTTAAAGAGTGGCAGAAGCTGGAGACCACTTATCAAAGGAGATATGGAATTAATTTCAGTACTATATGTGTTTTTATACTTTGAGTGACACAGACACCGGCCCACAGTGTCCGAGGTGTTATGGATGAGACTAGATAAATTCACACAGACTACCGAGTCCTGAGTCCTGTGGAGGAAAAGGGACAGCACAGCTACTCTCTCAAGGGAAGAGCACCTCAGGGCGCCTTAGCCACTCCCTCAACAGGAGAGTGTGCTGACCCTTGCTTTGACAAGCTTTCATTGGCTTTCTAATAGCATACATCAAAGAAGGTTTTCATTCATTATGCTTAGGTTTGCTTTAGGTAATTACTTTTTACAGACAGCAAGGGAAGGGAAGTTACTGATTACTTCTTACAGATTAACATGGAAAAAATGTTGCAAATGCAAGGGAATGATAAGAGTAACAGGTCTGGTTACACTTCAGTCCTTGAGAGAATTAGCACAGACTTCAGCAAGTTACTTTAAAGATATGCAGCAAGCACTTGCTGCCTGAACTCAGGGTGAGAGAGTTTTAGCAAGAGCAAGTCACAAAGCAGCCTAGGTATAATGCAAGCCTGATTTCCCATGGGAGAACTTCACAGGTATGGTCCTGTGTGCTGATTCGCCCCCCACTGGTTTTCCACGTGGGTGCCGAGCTACATTTCCATGTCTTGCAAAGCGGTTCCCTACATTTGGGTAACAAAATCTGGGGTTCAATTTTTCATTCATAGTCTGGATGAAAAGTTCAGCAGTCTCAGACAAGATTCCTACTGTTTTTCACTGATATGACAATAGCACTTTGGACGTTTCTTGTGAGATATCTATGAAAATATAGACATCTCACATATAGGGTCAAACTTCTGCTATCAGACAGACTATGGGACATACACAGACTATGGGACAAACTTCTATCAGACAGACTATTGGTGAATCAGTGAGACTGGGACTTCATTATTTTTATCAAACTGGAGAATTAACAAATATGGAGACTCTACAATTTTCCTACTTGAGAGCATTCCTCTATTCCTTAACTCAGCACTAGATTAGTGAGAAAGAAAAAACAATGCATCTACACAGACTTCTTCCAGAATAGGTTTAGCACATGATCACGAATCTGCTTGGTCTTCACACCATAGATGATGGGGTTGACCATGGGTGGGAAAAGAAGATAGAAAACAGCAAGGAGTATATGGACATGAGGGGCAGCCCGGCGGGCCACGCGATGCATGACTGAGGAGATGACAACAGGCGTGTAGGTGGACAAGATGGCACCTATGTGAGACACACATGTCCCAAAGGCCTTGTAGCGGGCCTCCTGAGAGGCAAGCTGTAGAACTGCACGAAGGATGAAGATATAAGACAGGATAACAAAGAGCAGATCCAAAACCACTATAAACATGGCTACTGCAATGCCATAGATATTGTTGAAGCGAGTGTCCCCACAAGCCAGCTTTACCACAGCCATGTGCTCACAGTAGCAGTGTGCAATCTTAGGGCCGCGGCAGTAGTGGAAGCATCTAAGCAGAAAGGGGAGTGGAGTCGTTAGTGTCACAGCCCGAATCATAGCAGCCGTGCCAATCTTGGTGATAAGAGGCCTGGTCAGGACCGAGGTGTAGTGCAGTGGCTTGCAGATGGCCACATAGCGATCAAAAGCCATGGCCAGCAGCACTGCTGACTCCATGATGGAGAAGGAGTGGAGAAAGAACATCTGGATCAGACAGGCATGGAAGTTGATCGCTTGATCTCTAAACCAAAATATAGCCAGCATTTTAGGCAGTGTTGAAGAAGAAAGGACTAGATCAATGGTTGCCAACATGGCCAGAAAGAGGTACATGGGCTCATGGAGGGCTGCATCAGCCTGAATAATGAAGAGGAGAGTGCAATTGCCTAGCAGAGCCAGAGTATAGGCAAAGCAGAAAGGAATGGAGATCCAGACATGCAGGTGCTCCAAACCCGGAATTCCTACCAACAAGAAGGCAGCTGGATGGGTTGAGGTAATATTGGAGGTTGACATGGCTTCTAGAAATTCTTGTCAGTTTTTATAGGCCCCTTCACTTTCTGGATGTACCTCATTAGGAGGAGTAGTTCTTATTATTTTCATTGTTAGACCTTAAAAATAACCCATTATTAGGCCTCATAGACATGAAGAAGCATAATCCATGTTTTCTTCTCTCAAGGAACTTTGAATTTCATTGACCAAACAGCATATTAAACATGATTAGAACTGATATCACAAGACAGCTTTCATACACAAATAAGGACAAGGTAGTATTTTCTGTGTTCAAGGTGATGATGTCAAGAATATCCTGTTAAAAGAAGAGGAAGTATGTGTAAACAAATGCATTTCTTTAGAACATACATTGCTACCATTCTACCTGATAATCAAGCTAAGCTCACAACTACAAAAGCCACTTTTCTATCTTGGAATCTTTGACTTGTGTGACTATATAAGTTGAATTAAACCTACAGTTTCTAATGATCTTATTCTTTATACAATTGTATATTTTCTCTAGCACTACAGTATCTGATATGGTTGCCACTGGCCACATGTGTCAATTTATATTTATTGAAATAAAGTAAAAATGCAACTTGTCAGGTATCCCTAACACTTTATAAGTGCTCAATAGGCACATGTGACTAGTGATACCCAATTAGACCATTCAGGTACATAATGTTTTTTTCTTGTAGAAAGCTCTACTAGAAAGAACTGCTCTAGGATATATCTTCCAGGTCCTTTCCCTACCCACAAATCTCTATACATACAGCCCTGCCTCCAGCTTACTGAGAAAATGAGGAGCCTCTCCCACTGGATCTCTTCCATCCAAATTCAGTTTCAGCTCCCTATTCATGTGGCTTTCCCACCAGACATCCTCTAGCCCCCTCATTTTCATTTCAGGCAAACTCTCCCATATGCAGCAAGACTGATATCTGACTTTCATGATAAATGCCCTCCATTCTTAATCATTTACCTTTTCCTCTTCTCTTGTTCATTTTTCTCTTCTTTCAAATCCTTAAACATTGAAGTTGCCCAGTTTTTACACAGCTATTTGTTTCTTATAGAATCCAGTTAATGTGGTTTTTACAAGCATTAAGTAAAATAACGTATTCAGAATACTTACTATATCACTGAACAAAGTAAGTACTGAAAAATCTTGGTCTCGTTTCAACATAATAAAATTAAGTTTTTGAAAATCTAATATCTCTAAAATGTCAGCTTTGATAGTGTTAGGCAATTGAGTTTGGGTTCTAGCTTTCTCCAATTCCATGCCCTAAATAACTACACTTTATTGCTTTCATCTAAATGGCTTATAAGCAACAACATCAACATATCCAAATTGAAAAATGACTTATTTCCATGTGGTACAGAAACATTTTAGAATGTAAGGGTCTTGTATCAAATCACAGCTGCCACTTACACAAGTTGTATGAATTTATACAATCACTTATCTCCAAGACCATTTTCTTCTCTGTAAGTGGGGAGGAAAAAGCCCCTACATTTATGGGATATTCTGTGGAGATATTACATATAATCTTCTTTTATGTATAAAGAATTATGTGTAATTCTTTAGTGCTTTCAGAGCCTTATTTGTCATTCATATCTCTTCTTCCATAGAACTACATTTTTAAACAAAATCACTATGTTGACTAATATTGTCCCTCCTATCTTATATTCTCCTGCTTCTATTACTTCAAATCTCTGCTTCTCTTCACAGAAAACATCTAGAAATGTTTATATTCAGTCTCAACTCTCTCACATATCCTTTGGCAATGGGACATTGCAATCTGAATTCATTCCCATTACTTCCTTGAAACTTCTTACACTGGGACCACTAATGACCTCTCTGATGATGGTGCCATTGTAATCTACCTGATTCCATGCAACTCGACCTCTCAGCAATTCATATCTGAATTAACAGTTCTCTCCTTTTGAAACCTTCTTTTCTCTTGGCTACAATGACACTATCATTTCCTATCTCCTTAGCTTTTCATGTTGGTCACCTGTATCTTCCCTACCTCTAAATATGGAATTTCTTCAGGGCTCTATATTTAGCTTTGTTCAATTTTATATTCACAAAATATTTAGTAAATATATTCAGTACATTTGTTGAAAAAGTTATACTTTTACTAAATATTAAATGTAAATGTGCAAATAAAATAGATTGATGCCTTAGTGAACAGATTTACCTAATGTTTGAAATGGATAATAAAATAATTTACACAGTAGTTTTTAAAAAGGGTAATGAGAATTGGACATCTGGGATTTAGAAGAAGGGGAAGGTAGAAATTTTTTAAAAGAAATTGGTGTAGGCTTCACTGGGTAGGAAATTAGAGCAAAGATTGAACAAGGTGAGAAAATATGTTAGCTCCATTCCATTAAAAGTCAGAACCTTGGATTCCATGAAAGTGTTTATGGGGAAGATTATAATAGGGAGTAAGGTGGGATGAAACAGCAGAACAGTAGCACAGACAATCACGTCCAAAGCTGCATTTCAAGCTGGATAATGTGTGATCAATACTGCGTGATTAAGAAGTACTAACCCTAAACAACAAAACAAACAAACAAGCAAAATATAACCAAAGACACTGAAATAGAGAACAGGCTGACAATGACCAGAGCGGAGAGGGGAGGGAATTTCAGGGGAAAAGGGGAAGGGTTTACAGGAACAAGTATAAAGGACACATGGACAAAAACCAGGGGTGGGGATGGAAATGGGACGGAGGTGGGGAGCACTGTGGGGTGGACTGGGATGGGAGTAAAAGATGGAAAACTATACTTGAACAATTAAAATTTTAAAAAATGTTTAAAAAAGTACAAACTGGTAGTTACAGAATAGTCACAGAGATGTAAATTATAGCATAAGGAATATACTCAATTATATTATAATCACTATGTATGGAGCCAGGTGTTTACTTAAACATTGGGATGGGGGGAACCACTCTGTAAAGTATGTGATTTTCTAACCACTATGCTGTGTAGCTAAATCTAATAGAGAACAATTTTGAATATAAACTGTAATTGAAAAATTCTAAAAACAGTATCATGCAGAAAGCAACTGAATAATTGTCTGCTCAAGTAAGATATAAGAAGAAGGTGTTTATCCACTGGTTTCCCACCTACCTCCCATCAAAGATGAACCCAAAGTATTCATTTCCTCAAACTTACAGATTCACACATGTTCTATAATAGCTAAACAGTCTCTAACGGTGCCCATGCAATGGAACAGAGGAACCCAAGGGCAGGATGCAGCTGAGTTTAGTGCAATCAAGCTATACTTGCACTCAAGTGGTTACCGCAGCAATGACTAGAACAAAAAAGTGAGTGAGAAAAAAGTGAGAGAGACATGAAAGATAGAGCATATAGGGATTTACCCCTGGGTGAAGAACTTAGGAAAACGGAACAGTCAGAACAAATACTCGAGGACAGTAGTAGCACTAATATTCACAAATCAGCTATGATGCCAGTGTAGCTAAAGGACTGGAATGAATGAGACATTTATAGAGTTCATAAAGGTAGGACCAGATCATACAGGGCCTGGTAGGCCTTTGTGGGAAATTTCCAAAACTTCCTTATTTCTCTTACAAAGACATGTTATGAGCTAAGGGACATATTTGACAATTTTTAAGTTTTCTCTGCTTCCTATCACGAGAATAACATGAAAGGGTAAGGGAAAAAAAAGAAAAGAAAAACAGGCTCTGGAGGAAATGACAGTAATAAGGAAGAATACTGCCTAAGAGCCAAAGTGGTGGCAATGTAGGTGGTAGAAGCAATCAGATTTGAGATATATTTGAGAAAAGTGCCATGGGATTTTTTTGACAGATTAAATGTAGATCATAAGAGAAAAGGCAGTCAAAAATAGCACCAAATTTTTTATATTAAGCAGCTAAAAGGAGCTTCTCCACTTTCTGTCTTACCACAAACAACCGACACGTTGTGAAGTGAAGGCACTTGGAGTGAAGGGACTGTTTTATTCACTTCCAGCATCTAGCATACACATTGTGTTGACTATTTCACAGAATGAAGAATGAAGAATGAACAACCAGAATGGAAATTGTCTTCTCACTACATTCACAAAACCTCCCTATACGGTCCAATAGCTGGTTGTTATCTTCCAATTTAACATTCAACCAAAATAGAAGTTCAAAGAAAGCCCAGCCACTTTGGTTTCCTGCATCAGAATAAAATTTTCTCATTGGAAAGAATTTTTCCATGTCCTACTAATATACCTTCATCTGTGCCAGGAACAAGCATTTTGGCTTTGTAGGGAACAACTTCAGTTTCAGCAGAATGGTTTTGTTTTCCCAAGTATACTGTCAATGCCAAGAATAGTGCCTGCTACGTAATAGTCTATAAATGACTGAATGATCTCACATACCTGTTGCAGCTTCATCCTCAGTAAATATGCATTTGTCAACAAAAATAAACATATCTTATTTTGCCTCCAAGCCCCTACCTCTCCCTGACTTGTTCTCCCCACCTTCTGAACATAAGTGACCACTCTGTGGCCTATCCACCCTTCCTCACACAAATAAAAACTTATCTCTTCTGTCCAACTTCTACCCCAAATACAGAGTGTCCAACACTGCATGGCCCTTACTTCTGTTCAAGTTCATCAAAAAATACACTCTTCCCAGAATAAGGATCTCAGAGAATGTAAGGGAGTAAGTAGAGCCAGCCTTTCTCACCAAACATCCAGAATGTCAGAACCTGCTTTGTTTGTAGTGAATGTTTCAAACTGCCTGTGCTCTGTTTCAGAAGCCAAACTGTCCCCACAAGATCACAGGACTCATCTATTTCTTTGTTGTTTCCAAAAGTGCTTACAGGGGTCTCCGGGCACAGAAAGTATTCAGTTAATACTAGCACTACTTTGTAGTCTACACCTATATCATAAGAGGGTATCAGAAAGATAATTTGAATGATTATGACCCAGAGACAGGAAAATAGTCACTCACCTAAGGTCCTTCAGGGATGTGGCTTGTGGAAGAAGAACTTATAAGAAATGTATGCCTTACCTC